TTTTTTTTTTTTTTTTTTTTTTTTTGCCGGAACGATATAGGAACTATTATAAATCAAGCGCACAAAGTGCGAATAAAAATACAAAGCTCCCAACGAGAGAATAAGAAACAACCTAAAACTAAAAACTGGAAGGACAGATCAGACGACCGCCTACAATCCCGACTCTAGCAACGGTAGAAACCAAAACAAGACTCACAAGACAACTACTACAACAAAACACAAATAAAAACTACAAGGCTCCCCACAGTAGAATCGAGACGGGAGCAGCTCCCCAGAGGAGAATCAAGGTTGCTCCCGCTCATGCTTATAGAGATCAACTGGTCCAAACTAAAAACACAAGATCCTAAACACGACCACCAAGACGACAAAACAAAAGAAAAAAACACATGCGCCTAAACACACAAGCCCTTCCACGGAGGCAATTCCGAGACAAGCCGGCAGACACCAATTCGACCCCATAGGAATCCTTCAACCCGAGAAAGCCGACCCCTCCACTGCCTAAACGCCTAGCTGAGTCGAATCCCGAGCATCAAAATAACCCCAGAAGGCCGAATCTCCCCGAAGCCAACGACCCCTCGAATTCGCCCGACAGCCGCAGCACCAAGTCGGCTAACACCACTAGCAACTCGGTGCCTCCGGCAATCTCCCCGAAACCAACCCCAGATAACCGGGGAGAGGAAGTAAATTCAAAGAGCTGCAGTCCGAACCACTTCAACCCAAGGCCAAGAGCCGCCGGAGCCACGCTCGCGTCGAAGAGCAGCCCTAGCCACACTGACCGGAAGCTGAAATTCGTCGGAGCCGCACCCGATTCCTTCCCGTAGAACTTCACCTCGACCAAAACCAGATGCAACCCCACGGTGGTCAGCGAATGAAGAGACCGAGCACCGCAGAGCCACAAAATAGAGTCGCACCAACTCCATACCACTGCACCAGGATAACAAGGAAGCTGCACCTCTGAACCACAGCACCCTCGCGACACCTCCGCTCCGGTGCAGGCGGCCTGAAATTAGGCGACCATCAATTAGAAGCGCATGGAGGTGAGACGGGAAGTAGCCGAGCGGCCAGGGGACGAATATCCGGCAACTTAACTAGGCTTGTCAGGGTGACAGCCACCGCTCGGGATAGTCGACAGTGGAAACGTCTTACCATCACTTTATTATATACATATAAATAAATCGCATATTTGAACTTTAAATTTTTTGTTTTTTTCATATATAGTTATACAATATATGCAACTTAACTACAAGTAAAAAATTTAGTAAAGATTTCATTTCAATCATGGTAACATGTTTTTCAAAATTGCCACAATATTCGATTCACTATTCTACTATGCACGTAAACAACTTTTTATTTATATTATAATGATTTTTTTATCATTTTAAATTATTTTTTTTATCAATTTAGTTATGAAATATTTTTTCATTTAAAAATAGTGATTTAATGTCATCCGATTCATTTAGTTAGTTTTGAGCTACAAATGATAAAATATCGTTGTTATTTTTTTTAACGTAATTATTTTTGTAAATATTGTTTTACAAAAGATACAATAAAAAATTCAAATGTCTGTTAAAACATAACAAAACCAAAATTATTCTCAATATTGGAATGGATTTGGAATAAAAAAGAGAATGATTGAAAAAAAAAGATATACTCAAAATCCACACTTTAAGGTAACAACTTTTCTTATATTCTATATAAAATTAAACTTCACCAGAGAAATCATATCTTTAGTATTTTTCACAATATTACATATTTACATTATAATTTTAATTTGTGGTGCTAACATAACGAAAATCAACAAAAAAATAAATAAATAAATAAAGTAAGAAGGTGTCTATGCAGTTCGCAATTACCAACTAGAGAGCAATCTTGGTAAATATCGGTCTACAGTTGCCAAGTGCAAAGTAATTTTGCATGGAAAAATGACGATGTTTTTAATAATGTATGACTTTTTCATGACGGACATTTTACGATTACCTAACAAATGCTCTATGTATTATAACTTATTGATTAATGATTTAATTATAAATTTTACCAAAATAAATACAACTTGTGCATCGCACATGTTACGTCCTAGTCGATGTTAATATGGAATAAGACAAATAAATAATTTTTTTTTATTTTAGTAAAAATTTTACGTCATTTTTTTTTTTTACGTATTATGAGATTTTTTTTCTTAAACTGATTTTATGGGATAGAAGACAAATAAATAAAATAATTAAATAAAATTCTGGATAAAAATAGCAATGCATTAATTACGTTGACTTTTCAACCTACCATATTTTGTAAATAGAATACCTTATTATATAATTATAGATTATAGATAGATGTTACCCATTAAATTAATTAAATGAAAGAGATAAAATGTGTCAATAAATTGTACAAAATACACCCCACAAACAAGAAGACGACATCGATTATGTTAGAATTAATCGCTCCTTCTCCGACACCACGCAACAACACGCTCATCCATCTCCCTCACCTCCTCCCAAATACCTCTATTTTTCACTTCCGCCATCGCCGAATCTTTGCAGTTAAATTGCCCTGCTGCGGATTCAGCTATGGCGATGAGAATGGAGCTGTCCTATTTGGGCCACGATCTCTCAAGGGCTTCAAGAAGAAGAGGGGTAGCGATTTTAGGACCCTTTTGAGAGCAAGTCGCAGAGAATCCCCATACGAGGTTTTGGGCTTGCCCCAATCTGCAACTGCTGATGAAATCAAAAGGGCATACCGGAAACTAGCTTTGAAGTATCACCCTGACGTTAATAAAGAGGTATTTGGGTTCGATAAAGTTGCTGCCTTTCGCTTTATCCTGTTCAAATTTGCGAGTTTTGAATGTTCTTGGAGTTGGGTTCTTGAATTTATGTAGTAATTGAATTTAGGTGGGTCGTGCTGTTAAATTAGAGATAAATACAAATCACTGGCCATTGATTTTAGGGGGAAAAATTGAGTCTTTCCATGATAATGGGGGTGTATTCGTTTCGGAATTCGAGTGACATTTAAAGACTTTTTAAGATTTATAGTTTGGTAACTGGCAATATGAGGTTTTGGTTTTTTTCTTTCCAGTTCTTGCTGTAAGTTTGGGGAAGAACAAAAGAAAACTAATTACATAATTATGGTATCGACTACAAACTTTTGGACGAATACAATGTGGTGTATAAAGTGTATATATTTGCATGTAGGGGTTGAATTTAACTGATTTAGGAGGGTGTATTCGTTTGAGATTTTGAGTGACATTTTAAAACTATTCTGAAATATGTGACTTTTTAGAGGAATCCTTGGATATACTATGGCTGGAGGTGGGATTTGGCGTGAGATTTTGTATAAGATTATTGTTTTTTGGTTAAATTCTTTTCCATTTCGTGGAATTTAGGCAAATGCAAAGGAGAAATTTATGAGGATAAAGCATGCTTACAATATTTTGCTGAATCCTGAATCTCGGAGCAAATATAACACTGGGGATCGAACATCAGATTTCTCCTACTCCAATGGACGAAACAAAAATGCCCAAGAAGAAGAATTTTATGGATTGGGTAAATATCGAGATGCTTCTTGAACTTACATTGTTTGGCTATGAGGTTTTACCTAATGATCACTGATGACTGATGAGAAGATAGTAAGAAGCTTGCATTCCCAGTTGACTCACTTCATTGAAAAACGTCAGTGTTTTTCTGAAATATATGCGACTTAGAACAATAAATGTGGCTCTACGCTTTGAACATAATATCGATAAAACTATTTCCCGTTAATTTTCTTTCATCCAAAATTTGTGTTTTCTTGTCCGTTTTCAATTCATTCTTCAGTTTATATAGTTTTTAGGTTTAGTGGTTTACTATCTGTTAATGTTCATTTTGCTTATACTTGAAATCCCTGTACGCTGCAGGTGAATTTGTAACGGATGTTCAAATAGCAATAGGTAGAAAAAGTTGTACTCTTTCATTAACTTCAAAAAATCTTGTTGTGCATTGTTCCTGTAAAGCCCTTTAATAAAAATGCAATACATTGCCTAAAATAAAAAAATGCAATACTTGCTGCAGGCGACTTTTTTAGAGACCTTCAAGAAGAATTTCGAAATTGGGAAGCAAGTGCCTCTTCACAGGGGAGGCCAAAGAGTCTTTGGGAAGAACTTGCGGTAATAATAACGATGACATTTTGGATTAAAACTTAGTTACGAAGAAAAATTTATTATAATATTCATCTGAATTTGAATGGATCACATTTTGGAACAAGCTTATCTGACTATGTCATTTTGCCCCCTGCAGGAAATCGGGGAAGAATTTGTGGAGTACCTTGAAAAGGAGCTCAACATTATGGATTCGGTGACCGAGCCAAACGAGGAGACTGGTCAAGAAAATACTTTCACGAGCCCTACGGAAGAGAAAAGAGAAAGCCCGGCTGGAAAAAGTAGCAGTCTTGAGGAGAACATTGACGAAATCGAAGCTACGCTTGCAAAGCTGAAAAAGGAATTAGGTATCTTAATTAAATAGTTGGTAAATAGTTGGCCAATCTGTAACTTGTTTTGCTATTTTCAACTGATCCTCTGTTCATCATTTTTTGTAAAAGCTACCAGCATATTTACATACATACTAATATTTAATTTCGATTATTGACAAAATACGAATATTTAATATATTTAATTTCTATTTAATATAATTAATTTCTGTCCTTTCTTCGTTTCGTAATTGTTAAAGGTTGTCCTCTTAGCTAATGTGTCCAATTATTTTGGTGGGCTTATAGGTTGGATCTTAATCGGACCACGTATAATTCTTGGTGGCTTAGGCTTCTAATTGGGCTGTTACCTGAACTTTCACATTATTTTTATTCTTTAGCCCATTCTATAAGCCCAACTCTGAATGGGTGAGTCGCATGCCAATGAACAACATGACCAACAAAACTTCGTTTTTGTATTATTGACACGGGTCGTGTTTTCAAACAATTAAAATTTTAAATTTTGACATTGATTTTGAACTATGCACCCTTTATTAAATTAATGAACTATATTATTTTTTTTAATAGCTTAAATTAAATTAAACTGTATATCTTATTGTTTGATTATTTGAATATTATTGTTTGGATTCAATATCCAATCACTTATTCAACTTAAAATCTTTATATTTGTTATCTACAAATCTATTTAATTTTCATACTAGATGTTATAGCCACAGCTAGTACTGCCGGCTCGGTTGGTAGTATCTGATATAGCATGTCATACCCGACCGATTTTTATGGATTATATTGAAGAATACGCCCACACATGGGCTGGGCTAAGACACTTGATATGATAATATAGACCAATCCCAACTAAGGTCAAGCCCAATTTGGACTATAAGGTACACTCCCCCTATAAAAGGGGGGCTAAAGTACTCATTTCCTACATTCTCTACTCATTCTCTTACTACACTTCCTCTCTTTACACACACTCTCTCTCTATATGCACTCTCATATTGATTCTGTACTGACTTAAGCATCGGAGGCCCAAAGCCGGGCACTCCTCCCGGGGTCCTTGGCTTTAGGTTCTTGCAGGTACGGTGGCCGTCCGAGTCGAGAGAGCCCGGGTGACATCTTTGTCCATCAGACGCACATGTCTCCACACCGCTTATGCACCTTTCTCGTGTACACGCCGTAATTTCCCGACCCATGATTTGTGTTGAAGTCGCACCAAAACTTTGTGGTCCCCCAAAAGTTTACATTGAAATTCCAATCGATGGCCGACCCATCTGAGAGGTGGTGGGTTCCGAGATCGTCTTCTGAGGAGTAGCAGTGTGTGGAGATGCTGCTTTCACTTTCATTAATGTCGTTTTGAACTTTGACTGTTGTGTATGAATATAGATCGACTTGTGATGTGGTGGTGATTAGGATGTTGATTGAGAGGAGAATGATGAAAATTTTTTGTTGTTTTGTCGTCATGGCCATTGCTGAATAGTGCATTTTTAATTTGTGTTGGACTCACCTTCCTTTATGTTATAATACCAATATATCGTGATCTTATATACTGCGGGTTATGTGAGTTGGGTGCCAAAAACTTCACTGAAATGTTCAATTAGCATCTCTTCCTGAAATATAGCTAAAGAAAAGGTAAAGACATTTAGTATGTTCAATAACCAGAAAATAGCCACAAATGAAAAAAGAATTTAATATCTGGGTACTCACCCACATATTACATTTTTTCTTCATTTTGTGGCTACTTTTTGAGTTATTGAACATGGTAAATGTCTTTTCCTTTTCTTTAGCTATATTTCAAGAAGACATGTTAATTGAACATTTCGGTGAAATTTTTGGCACCCAAATCACATAACCCACAGTATATAAGATCACGATATATTGGTATTATAACACAAAGGAAGGTGAGTCCAACACAAATTAAAAATACACTATTCAGCAATGGCCATGACGACAAAACAACAAAAATTTTTCATCATTCTCCTCTCAATCAACATCCTAATCACCACCACATCACAAGTCGATCTATATTCATACACAACGGTAAAAGTTCAAAACGACATTAATGAAAGTGAAAGCAGCATCTCCACACACTGCTACTCCTCAGAAGACGATCTCGGAACCCACCACCTCTCATATGGGTCGACCATCGATTGAAATTTCAATGTGAACTTTTGGGGGACCACAAAGTTTTGGTGCGACTTCAACACAAATCATGGGTCAGGAAATTACGGCGTGTACACGAGAAAGGTGCATAAGCGGTGTGGAGACATGTGCGTCTGATGGACAAAGATGTCACCCGGGCTCTCTCGACTCGGAGAACCAAAAGCCAAGGACCCCGAGAGGAGTGCCCGACTTTGGGCCTCCGATGCTTAAGTCAGTACAAAATCAATATGAGAGTGCATATAGAGAGAGAGTGTGTGTAAAGAATGCTTAAGTCCATTGCAGCTCGCCACATCTGGTGTCCTCTAAAATGCAGACCTGCAGCCTGCACAAATTTTTGTCTTAATATAGCATGTAATAAAGGAATTTAAATCTGTCACATACTTGGATAGAATAACACAAGTAATACCATTCAGGTCTAAATCCATTTTTCCACTAAAATAAATCAAAGAAAATTAATGAATCCTAGTTATTTTTTGAAATCACATATATTATATTGAGACATGTAACTATTTTACCATGTGGAGGGGGAATAATTTTGAAACAAGAACAATATATAACGAAACTCGTAATAAAAAAATAATAGACACTAACCAAATGGGAGAAATGCTAAACATGCCTCATTGCAACCATCCCAGCAAAGTAAGCACCATCACAGTAGCGTACCTTTCTTCTGTTCCAACTGAAGAAAATAATATTACAGTAAAATGATAATAAAATAAAGTAAAAAAACCATCATACAAAGCGGGGAAGATAAGAACTTATTGTCATACGAAAAGAAAAGGTTTATTCAATCTTATAGACCTGGATTCTCTTCAGCCTTGTTGCTAAGTAACCTTGTGAATGGAATTATTTTTAGAAAATTTGTTGGCAATCACGACGTGTTGTTTTGCGGTAAATACAGGGCATGAGGCTGTTGCACCATCTCCATCCTAGACACACTAAAAATAATGTAGGATGCAAGCTACAATAAATTCAAAATATTAAAGCCTTCTTTCTAATCATCCCTATGGAACTCCATAGGGATACTAAGTGGCGTTCTTTCTAATCATCCCTATGGAACTCCATTAGACTCAAGTGATTAATCTGACTCATAAGATTGAAATTCTGACTAATGTTGAAAAACTTTGACTGGCATAGAACTATCCAATACACTTCACTGTATAAAAACATTAGTTAGCACATGAAGTCAAGAATCTAAACCATCAACAATGTTTGTCAAGTGAATTGAAAATGCTCCACATGATATATGACTCTTTACACTGAAAAAATCAACCTGTATATAAAACATAATTACATTTACTTCTATTTTATTATTTGTTTTGTGGAAAACAATCAAACTAAATGTCAATATCCCACAGAATCATGCACGAAACTCTAACTGTATGATGCAACTGTTAGTGCCTGTTCCAAACCCACGATGAAAGCGATATCCCGGTAATGTTCCATCCAAACAAACTGAAAAATAATAGCCAAAATAAGAAAAAACTTTCTAGACTTGGAAAAGCTGCAAGACTGGTCCAACTCCTTAGTTACACTTACTCGTTGCACTCGTTTCTGAATCTGAAGTTCACGCACCCAACTCTTTAAGAAAGGAAAGCTCTATTGATGTAGCAACCGTAAATGGCCAACGGAAATTTTTATACCTTTCAGAGCGCATATCAACAGATCGCCGGAGATATGGGTGGAGAAGAGGCCAACGAATATAAGGGGAAACGGATTGAGGTTTTGATGTGTGGGTGTTTCCCGAGAGTAACGTCACAGCGGCCATCGTACGCTATGTGTTTGTTCATTTGTAAAATCGAATATTTTCTTCGATCTGCTAGTCGAAAACTTAATCGATCGCATGAAAATTATCTGAATAGAAAAGGAAAAAGTTGTACAGAGGAAAGTGAAAAAAAACGACATGAAACAATCAAAAACATACCTCTCTCGACGACCTGTTGCCGGAGATCTGCCAGTCACCAAAGAAATGTCGGAATTCGGTCGCCTCAATCAGGCGATGAAAAGGAACAGACGTTCGCCATGGCATCGCCTTTCACAAGCCTGCCTGGACATCTAGCGCTTTCGTCTCTTTAGAAAAAAAAAATAAAGAATGACTCGACAGAGAAAGAATACGCTCAGTGAGTGGAACTACAAATCACGCTTTCAATCGACACGTGTTAACATCCAAAGCAGACAGATATTACATACAGAGATCATAGAGTTGTCAATTATTTTGCCCAATTCACTGCGCGAAAGCATACCAAGCCTTTGGCGAACATTAATTGTCATTTCAGAGTATTAAAAAAGTTAAAGTGATTTGCCATAACAGGTTAGGTATTTGATGCATACTTGTTGTCAGCTAGATTTAGAATTGCACAGAAACTGATAAATGGACAAAAATCATCAACAAGAAGTTCCTATGTTCTAATTATTAGAACGAACGAACGCAAGGTCTTTCCAGCTAAAATCTCAA